TATTTTTGTTCGTCATTTTAGAAAGGAATACTTTTATCAGTCTCGAAAAGCGATATGCTTCCTGTGACAACTGTCAACCATGATCTGTTCAGATTAATGATCTTTCATGTCTATCGTGTTTTTGTACCACACGGCTAGGCGCACTCTTACTCGAGACTCGAGACACATGATTAGCCCAGTGTTGCACCATTTTGGCACAATCGACTGATTCGACTCACAACCTTAAAAAACAAACGCGTTAGCTTCTGAGGGTGACGATCGAATCTAGTTGAATTCGGTTGTATTCAAAATGGAACCTTTTGCCCCATCCATGAAGCGAAATCTGACTGCTGAGTGGCACCGACTCAGTCCGATGAATTCGATTGGCAGTGCACTGGGTGTAACTGTGACGTCACATGTTTACTCCGTATTGTGTCTGTCCGTCTATTGTGAGCTCCTGTGTTATCTATCACTATGAAGGAGACTATAGATCCAACCCCCGACACCATGGACGGGGTTATATAACCCCCATTTATCAACAGTCATAATTTCACTTAACCCTATCCGTACCCCCTGAGGTCATTTTGTACCCCCGGGGTTGTATTCTTCACATTTTGGATTACTTCTAGTGCGAAAACCTCTTTGAAACTTTCAGTATTTAAAAAAACAAACACATTTTGACAGACTGCTATGCAAAGCGTACGGATCGGATTAACGAGTAAATGTCCTCTTTGGAAAGTGGTGGTACAGAGTTCCCCACATGGTATGGATAATGGATAGGATACGATAGTAAAACACGACGTACGGATGGCGTTAAGTGGTGGCACAGAGTTCCCCGCGTCGTATGGATACGATAGTAAAACACGACGTACTGATAGGGTTAACCCCAAGGTCAGGGTCGGGTGGTGTTTTGGACATCAGAAGTTATCCAGTTATCCAGTATTTCAGACAAAACATGTACCGGTACCACTTGCGCAACAAATCGCTGCCTTAATTAGAATTACAAAATTCTAGCTGATACTTTTGGCCGTTTTGAGAACCTAAGACGTATGAGGCCAGAACACAAATGTTCTACCTCCTCTATCAAATTCATACGATTATTCGGAGTCGTTTTCAAGACACAATTATATAAAGAATTGCAATCGAAAAAGCTGGACATGCTGTGGAACTCAAAATTTTGGCGTCAAATTTCTCAAAACTAGGTACTGAGCAGATATAACTTTGTAATTCTGGGGTGGCTAAATAATAATGTACGGTGCTTAAAATTAAAAGCTTTCATTTAGATCTAGATATTATTACTTTATGGGTCTTAATCTCTCAACTTTGCCGTTCGTGCAAAACAAAACAAGATACTATGGCCCGCAAAGTTATTTTGATCGAGTTGATAGGCCTAAGTATCACGAGACAGCGTCACTGCCTGTTTTGCACGAAATCCTTCATAACCGCGACCTTAAACTTGAGTGCGAACACGGCACGTTTACGAATTATCACGTTTATAATCTAAAATGCCATGATAAAACGGCGGGCCTGAAAAGGTGAAATCCTCTCTGTCAAGATTCGGGATCAAGGCTGTTGTACACCGGTTTCTTTTGAGGGGG